TCAGTAAATGTGGGACTGATAGTGCTGTCCTGGGAGACAGTATGGTGAAGCCAGAGTGCTGTCCTGGGAGACGTAATGGTGAAGCTGGAGGTGCTGTCTGGGAGACAGTAATGTGTGAAGTTGGAGGTGCTGTCCTGGGAGACGTAATGGTGAAGCTGGAGGTGCTGTCCTGGGAGACAGTAATGGTGAAGTTGGAGGTGCTGTTCTGGGAGACAGTAATGGTGAGCTGGAGGTGCTGTCCTGGGAGACAGTAATGGTTGAAGCTGGAGGTGCTGTCCTGGAGACAGTAATGGTGAAGCTGGAGGTGCTGTCCTGGAGACGTAATGGTGAAGTTGGAGGTGCTGTTCTGGGAGACAGTAATGGTGAAGCTGGAGGTGCTGTCCTGGGAGACAGTAATGGTGAAGCTGGAGGTGCTGTCCTGGGAGACATAATGGTGAAGCTGGAGGTGCTGTCTGGGAGACAGTAATGTGAAGTTGGAGGATTTTGTCCAGGTAGTCGGGAATTTACGCAGGAAGGAATACTTATAAATGACCTCATAGGGACAGGAGCGTAGTGGGAAACAATGTAGTCAAAGATAAGATAAAACCAATATTGCAACTAGAAATACCACAGGAAATAGCAAACAAGAGGACTCCACTAGCCATAGTGAGGATATATTACCAAAAAACAACTGGTGGGTGAGCTCCATTGTTGGTGCTAGGAGGATAGGAATTAAGACAGGGAAACATGCACTAACAGGGAATACAGTCACAGAAACCAAGGCAAACGGAAACCAAGCCTGTGCACTACTATGCACTTGGTATCTGCAGACATGGGAAATCTGGAAAAACAGACGGGACGTGCAACTATGGCCACCCGAAAATGCCATGCCCATATGAAAACAGGAAAATGCAACTCCCTTCCTGTAAGCTTTTTCACCCTGAAATGTGTACCTCTTCAGTACAGGGGAAAGACTGTGCTTATAACCCAAATTGCCAGGCATACCATCTAAAGGGTAAAAAAAGATACAAAACATCCAGGCCATGGGAAAACCTGGGTAGCCACAGCCCCTCAAGAGGGAGAGGTTTTTTAGTGCCAGGAAGGAAAAAAAACTGGCAGGAAATGGCAGAAATTGTACACCAAATCCAGTCATTCCTGGACTGGAACCACAGTCGATGGCCTCCACTCCAAACCAACAGATAAAGATATTAATGCCGGAAAAAAAATCCCCCCCCAGTACCAACAATACCACCAGTCCGATGACATTCTTCTTTGCAAATACAGTGGACCCCCGCATAACGATTACCTCCAAATGCGACCAATTATGTAAGTGTATTTATGTAAGTGCGTTTGTACGTGTATGTTTCGGGGTCTGAAATGGACTAATCTACTCCACAATATTCCTTATGGGAACAAATTCGGTCAGTACTGGCACCTGAACATACTTCTGGAGTGAAAAAATATCGTTAACCGGGGGTCCACTGTATACAGAGTCTAAAGCCAGCAACAAACAACAAAATGCCTTTCATCCGTGGACTGCTTGCAGAGGCAAAGGCAATGTTTGCGGCTTTCACTGAGACCCACATAAAGGATCACTTGGACAACGAAGTATGGATCCCAGGTTACAACCTATACAGATGTGACAGAGTAAACAGGCAAAAGGGGGGGGGGGGTTGGCCTGTACATTGCAGAGTCACTTGTTTGCACAGAACTGCTAAATGCCTCAAATGATGTAGTGGAAGTTTTAGCAGTAAAGGTCGAGAACCAAAACCTAGTCATTGTGGTAGTCTACAAGCCTCCGGATGCAACATCCCAGCAATTCCAGGAACAGCTGTTAAAAATTGACCACTGTCTGGAAAATCTTCCAGCTCCTGCACCCAACATCTTGCTCCTGGGGGATTTCAACTTAAGGCACCTAAAATGGAGGAATATAGCAAATAATATTGTTGCAGTAATAACACCAGGAGGCAGCTCTGACGAAAACTCACACTCACACGAGCTTTTAAATCTCTGCACAAAATTCAATTTAAACCAGCAAATAATAGAGCCTACTAGACTGGAGAATACACTAGACCTCATCTTCACTAACAATGATGATCTGATAAGAAATGTGACCATATCAAAAACAATATACTCAGATCACAACATAATAGAGGTTCAGACATGTATGCGTGGAGCCCCAGACCGACATAATGAGACTAGTCACGAGGGAGCATTCACCAAATTCAACTTCAATAACAAAAAACATAAAGTGGGACCAAGTAAACCAAGTCCTAACCGATATAAGCTGGGAAGATATACTAAGCAACACAGACCCCAACGTATGCCTAGAACAGATTAACTTGGTGGCACTCGATGTATGCACAAGGCTTATTCCTCTAAGAAAAAGGAGGAGTAGATGTAAAATAGAAAGAGACAGGCGCTCCCTTTACAGGCGACAGAAAAGAATAGCAGAGTGGCTAAAAGAGGTCAATATATCTGAAATGCGTAGGGAGACACTGGTCAGAGAAATAGCAAGCATCGAACTCAAACTAAAGGAATCTTATAGGAGTCAGGAATCGCGGGAAGAACTAAAAGCCATAAATGAAATTGAAAGAAACCCAAAGTATTTCTTCTCCTATGCCAAATCAAAGTCGAGAACAACATCCAGTATTGGGCCCCTACTTAAACAAGATGGGTCCTACACAGATGACAGCAAGGAAATGAGTGAGCTTCTCAAGTCCCAATATGACTCAGTTTTTAGCAAGCCACTAACCAGACTGAGAGTCGAAGATCAAAACGAATTTTTTATGAGAGAGCCACAAAGTTTGGTTAACACAAGCCTATCCGATGTTATCCTGACGCCAAATGACTTCGAACAGGCGATAAATGACATGCCCATGCACTCTGCCCCAGGGCCAGACTCATGGAACTCCGTGTTCATCAAGAACTGCAAGAAGCCCCTATCACGACCTTTTTCCATCCTATGGAGAGGGAGCATGGACACGGGGGGTCGTCCCACAGTTACTAAAAACAACAGACATAGCCCCACTCCACAAGGGGGCAGTAAAGCAACAGCAAAGAACTACAGACCGATAGCACTAACATCCCATATCATAAAAATCTTTGAAAGGGTCCTAAGAAGCAAGATCACCACACATCTAGAAACCATCAGTTACACAACCCAGGGCAACATGGGTTTAGAACTGGTCGCTCCTGTCTGTCTCAACTATTGGATCACTACGACAAGGTCCTAAATGCACTAGAAGATAAAAAATGCAGATGTAATATATATAGACTTTGCAAAAGCCTTCGACAAGTGTGACCATGGCGTAATAGCGCACAAAATGTGTGCTAAAGGGATAACAGGAAAAGTCGGTCGATGGATCTATAATTTCCTCACTAACAGAACACAGAGAGTAGTCGTCAACGAGTAAAGTCCGAGGCACCTACGGTGAAAAGCTCTGTTCCACAAGGCACAGTACTCGCTCCCATCTTGTTCCTCATCCTCATATCCGACATAGACAAGGATGTCAGCCACAGCACCGTGTCTTCCTTTGCAGATGACACCCGAATCTGCATGACAGTGTCTTCCATTGCAGACACTGCAAGGTCCAGGCGGACATCAACCAAATCTTTCAGTGGGCTGCAGAAAACAATTATGAAGTTCAATGATGAGAAATTTCAATTACTTAGATATGGAAAACACGAGGAAATTAAATTCTTCATCAGAGTACAAAACAAATTCTGGCCACAAAATAGAGCGAAACACCAATTCAAAGACCTGGGAGTGATCATGTCGGAGGATCTCCCCTTCAAGGACCATAACATTGTATCAATCGCATTGCTAGAAAAATGACAGGATGGATAATGAGAACCTTAAAAACTAGGGAGGCCAAGCCCATGATGACACTCTTCAGGTCACTTGTTCTATTAGGCTGGAACATTGCTGCACACTAACAGCACTTTCAAGGCAGTGAAATTGCTGCCCTAGAAAATGTACGGGAAAAACCTTCACCAGCGCACATAATGGGGGTTTAAAACACCTAAATTTAAATGGGAGCGCTTGAGGTTCTGAACCTGTTTTCCCCTGGAAACGCAGGCGGGGAGAGTACATTATTATATACACCTGGAAAATCCCAGAGGGACTAGTACCGAACTTGCACACGAAAATCACTCACTACGAAAGCAAAAGACTTGGCAGACGATGCAACATCCCCCAATGAAAAGTAGAGGGTTGTCACTTAGCACGTTAGAGACCATACAATAAGTGTCAGGGGCCCGAGACTGTTCAACTGCCTCCCAGCACACATAAGGGGGATTACCAACAGACCCCTGGCAGTCTTCAAGCTGGCACTGGACAAGCACCTAAAGTCGGTTCCTGACCAGCCGGGCTGTGGCTCGTATGTTGGTTTGCGTGCAGCCAGCAGCAACAGCCTGGTTGATCAGGCTCTGATCCACCAGGAGGCCTGGTCACAGACCGGGCCCTGGGGGCGTTGACCCCCGGAACTCTCTCCAGGTAAACTCCAGGTAATACCACAGGCTGGGATAGAACTCGCGATCAGAGAGTCATAAAACTCCAGACTGACACGTTAGCCACTGGACCAGCTGGCTACAATATGATTCATCCAACTAGGCATAGTTAAACACCATAGGAAGGTTAGCATAGGCACCACTGTGATCACAAATTTAAGTTTTTTTTTTGCAGATGAATTTCCCACCAGCATGGCCATGACAAACTTTAACTTAAGTTCCCTATAAGCCGTCATCATGACTCACAAAATAATGATGACACGATTGCAAACAAACCATACCATGGGTGGGGATAGAACCCGCATCGTCGGTCTGGAGTTTTATGACTCTCTGATCGCTGGTTGTATCCCCGCCCATTGTATAGTTTGTTTGCAATCGTGTCATTACGATTTTGCGAGTCATTTCCTGATAATCACTGATGTGAGACAATTTTTTGCTGTTGTGTTCCACTTGTGTAACAACCTTGAATGTGAGTAATTGCATGAATTGTAACATGGTGTGTGTTGCAGGGCTGGGTGAAGGGCTTGCGGCGACAGAAGGAACGAACCTTTATCGATGTTGATGATGGTTCCTGCATCTACAAACTTCAGGTTGGTTCATCAACCCCTCATACTGGCACAGTATTGTATTCTAGTGTAAGATGGCAACTGTCACATCTCTTATAAAGTGCCACTATATACTGTCAGTTCTTTTATAAAGTTCCACTATATACGGTCAGACTATACCACAGGTGCATCATTATGATTTTGTGAGCTATATACACTCCGTAAGGTTTATTGAGTTTAGAACAATATACTTGGTTTAGAACAATATCTGGTTTAGTTAGAACAATATCTCTGGTTTAGAACAATATCTTTGGTTTAGTTAGAACAATATCTTTGGTTTAGTTAGAACAATATCTCTGGTTTAGTTAGAACAATATCTCTGGTTTAGAACAATATCTTTGGTTTAGTTAGAACAATATCTTTGGTTTAGTTAGAACAATATCTCTGGTTTAGTTAGAACAATATCTCTGGTTTAGTTTAGAACAATATCTTTTGGTTTAGTTGAACAATAATCTCTGGTTTAGTTAGAACAATATCTCTGGTTTAGAACAATATCTTTGGTATAGTTAGAATAATATCTTTGGTTTAGTTAGAACAATATCTCTGGTTTAGTTAGAACAATATCTCTCGTTGTAGTGCTCATGACAGGTGAGCACTACAACTCACAAGCCAGAGTCTGGTAGAACTAACCTGCCATGAGCTTCAAGTACCACCCAGTGTCTGGTAGAACTAACCTGCCATGAGCTTCAAGTACCACCCAGTGTCTGGTAGAACTAACCTGCCATGGGCTTCAAGTACCACCCAGTGTCTGGTAGAACTAACCTGCCATGAGCTTCAAGTACCACCCAGTGTCTGGTAGAAACTAAACCTGCCATGAGCTTCAAGTACCACCCAGTGTCTGGTAGAACTAACCTGCCATGAGCTTCAAGTACCACCCAGTGTCTGGTAGAACTAACCTGCCATGAGCTTCAAGTACCACCCAGTGTCTGGTAGAACTAACCTGCCATAGGCTTCAAGTACCACCCAGTGTCTGGTAGAACTAACCTGCCATGAGCTTCAAGTACCACCCAGTGTTTTGGTAGAACTAACCTGCCATAGGCTTCAAGTACCACCCAGTGTCTGGTAGAACTAACCTGCCATAGGCTTCAAGTACCACCCAGTGTCTGGTAGAACTAACCTGCCATGAGCTTCAAGTACCACCCAGTGTCTGGTAGAACTAACCTGCCATAGGCTTCAAGTACCACCCAGTGTCTGGTAGAACTAACCTGCCATGGGCTTCAAGTACCACCAGTGTCTGGTAGAACTAACCTGCCATGGGCTTCAAGTACCACCCAGTGTCTGGTAGAACTAACCTGCCATGGGCTTCAAGTACCACCCAGTGTCTGGTAGAACTAACCTGCCATGAGCTTCAAGTACCACCCAGTGTCTGGTAGAACTAACCTGCCATGAGCTTCAAGTACCACCCAGTGTCTGGTAGAACTAACTTGCCATAGGCTTCAAGTACCACCCAGTGTCTGGTAGAACTAACCTGCCATGAGCTTCAAGTACCACCCAGTGTCTGGTAGAACTAACCTGCCATAGGCTTCAAGTACCACCCAGTGTCTGGTAGAACTAACCTGCCATGAGCTTCAAGTACCACCCAGTGTCTGGTAGAACTAACCTGCCATGAGCTTCAAGTACCACCCAGTGTCTGGTAGAACTAACCTGCCATGAGCTTCAAGTACCACCCAGTGTCTGGTAGAACTAACTTGCCATGAGCTTCAAGTACCACCCAGTGTCTGGTAGAACTAACCTGCCATGGGCTTCAAGTACCACCCAGTGTCTGGTAGAACTAACCTGCCATAGACTTCAAGTACCACCCAGTGTCTGGTAGAACTAACCTGCCATGAGCTTCAAGTACCACCCAGTGTCTGGTAGAACTAACCTGCCATAGACTTCAAGTACCACCCAGTGTCTGGTAGAACTAACTTGCCATGAGCTTCAAGTACCA